AAAGCTAACACCTGTGGCTCCTAGGTGGAGACAGTTGCTGCCCATAGAGTGTGCCAGGAAATGTAGATGAATGAAAGTGAACATGGAAACCTGGAGAAGTAACCAGTGAATGTCATCCACGAAGTAACTGCTCAGACTTTCAGACCTGGAGTTGGTACTGTTGAGTTGCTCACCGGTGCCTTGGAGAATTGGAAGCTGTGTAGAAATGAGGTGAGATTAGTTAATGATGAGATACAAATGCATAGAAACACAATCCTTGCCACTTACTAGTGAGATTTGTATCCAGCTGTCAAAACCCTTTACAGAAATATCAGATTTCTCTTTTCTTAATTTCTAGAACTTTTTTTTCATTCTTGCTGTATTCTTCCAAATTTCTTGCCATTCCCTGCACTGCTTAAGGGCTGGAACATTCCACTGATAGTCATTGTGATTTTGGTCTGAGCAGCTAACAGCTTGATCAGTTCATTATGTTTCTACTTGTCCATTGCTATTCTACAGGATTTTATACTTAAATGATGGTGTGTTTTTTTCTACAAGGATCTGGGACCTACATGAACAGGGACTATAACTGGTATCTCAATAATCAATCAGCTAAAAGAATTGTTAATGCTCATCACAGAGTATTAAGAGGGAAGTTAGAATACTTAATTCAATGTCAAATCAAGTCAAGAAATGAAATAAGGAGCAGGAACCAAAGATTAGATTCAAAGAGAGAGACATAAAAAGACAAAGAAACAATAAATATAAAATCATCAGCAGCAACAATTAAAATCTGAAGGAACTCCACCTCTTCGAAAAGATACTTTTTGGCATTGAGAGGTTGCTTGACAGTAATTAAGGTTTAACATGCCATAGAAATATTTTTAAACTGGTACATTAGTTGATACTTATCATGTAATTACACCAGCTCCTTGCCACTTCATGTATTTGAATGGTGAGTTTCTTGGATAGATACTGGCATGGTACAGCTTATATATATGGAATCAACAATAAGGATTAAGATGACTTAAAATACAAATGGAAAAAACAATTGCAACAGCAAAAAAGGGCAAATAAATTTTGTTTTAAATTTAAATATGTTTTATGGACACGATATTACAACAATAAAGCTACTCCAATATCTCCAAATGTCTACTGCCATCGGTGATTTTTAACTCTACTGAAATGTGAGCTAAGGTTTTAAAAGTATTACTGAGTTCTCCAAAGATATCAGCTCCATGAGAGCTGAAATTAAGTATGAATAGGTAGAAGGTGGGAGACTTAATTTTGTAAGAAATTCTCCCTTTTAATTCTATTAATTTCATTTTTTTTTCAAATTCAACACTAAATCTCGCTAGATAAAGTTAAGGTTTCATTATGAAATATTACAGATGACTATACCATATGAATTTCTATTATTCAGTAATTAATTCCAAAAATGCATATTCCAATTGGAATTGTCTCACCTTCCTGGAGAGAATTGCATAGTTGTAGCTACCATTTTGCAGCTGTGTTTTTATTTATGAAATTTTGTTTCACAAGTGTGAGAAGACATAATGTAAAAAAAAAACACTTGGTCTAAACAGTAAGTATTAAACAGGGTTTTAATGCAAAAAGGTAAAAGGGTTTAGGAATTGAACATCAGAGTGTGAGGCCTATGAATTGAAAAGGTAGTAAAAGAAGAGCCAAAGGAAGACAGCAGTTTTTGGAGGAGTGGGGGAGTCTCAGGATGTTAGCATCGCTAGTTAGGCTAGCATTTCTTATGATAGAGATAAGTGGTGCTGCTGCTTTAGTGACTGTCTTCTCGACGACATATCCAGCATTTCAGAATATAAGAAAATAAAACATTGGAACAGTAGTGGGCATTTAGCTCTCAAACCTAATCTAACAATCTATAATATCAGGACTGATCTGAGTCCCATTGACTTGTGAGACTTCTTTTTTCCCACTTGCTTGAATGCTGCTTCAATGGTAATGGATTGTTTCTTACCTCGTCTCCAGATTTTGGGCTCATGTCCATTTTTGGACGAGTGATTAATGAGATCTGGAAGTGAATTGGGCCTAAAGTAAGTGTCAGTGAACTCTGAAATACAATTCTACAGCATTACTGGCTGGGCTCAGGCCCTATAGCCTTTTCTGTGTCAGTGCTCCTCAGTCTTTTTTTTATATCAATTTGTTAAACAAATTGATGAAGCTTGGCATCTATGATGACAGGACCAGGGGACCTCAAAATGATTGCAAAAGGGATCATCATTTTGCTACTTTTGTCTGAAGATTGTCACAAATGATTTAGTTTTGACATTTGTCATTGTGTGCTGGACGCTACTATTATTCAAGATTGGCATTCTCCTCCCCCTTTAGTTGCTTTATGGACTGGATAGAGCTTTGACTTGACCTTTTGATTGTGGGAGTGTTTAGCTCAGCTTAACTGAGTTGAATGGTCAATAATAAGCAGGCATAATTTTAAAGTGAAAAGCAGGATGTTCAGAGGAAATTTGAGGAAAACCTTTTCTCATCTCGAGGGTGGTACGCATTTGGAATGCACTGCCCGGGAGGATGGTTAAAGTGCAAAAAAACTCACAACTTTTAAAAAGTATTGGATGAGCATTTCAAGTGTCATAATTCAAGGCTATGGGCTGAGTGTGGGAAAGTGGGACTAGTCTAGGTAGTAGTATATTTTTGGTGGTGCAGACTTGATGAGCTGAAGGGCCTCTTCCTTACTCTATGATTCTATGAGATGAAAGTATGTTGATCTTATCATTTAGCATGCAGCTATTTGGGTCATGAGTTTGTGATAATCTGCAATTTGTACTCTTGCTGCCATTTATAGGGCTGAAAGAGATGCAAAGTTAGGAAGAAGAAAGGACATGAAGCGATCCAAACAGTTGGATGAGAATTTTAAAGTTGTTTAGTTGGGACACCAAGAATAAATCTGGATAAATTTATTTATGTTCCTCATTTGTTAGAAACATTATTTGCATGACCCAGAAAGTAAGCAACGTTCCCTCTGAACTGCGCTCCAAGGGTCTGTGCATGCCGATCAACGTGCCACTCTGTTCCCTTTTTGGTTTTTTCACTTGCTGCTGTGCATTGAGCTCTGCACAACATCTGGAGAAATTGGAGGAAACACAGTAGGTATGACATCTCAACATTCCTGGGGCTAGATTTTATCAGGAGGTGTCTTATGGCTATACCTGCAGAGGGTCAGTTGGTGACTTCTAAACCAGTCACCTTATAAAGATCCTGCTCCACAGTGATAACACGCTTACTGGTAGACTCAGTGAGCTGAAGATTGGATCTCTGTGTCCCTTCGTGGACAAGAAGGACCATCCTTGAAAATTGCTGCTGGTTAATCCAGTTGGCTGGAGTACTGTGTACAGTTCTGGTTGCCCTGCTGTAGGAAGGATATTATTAGATTGGAGGTGGTTCAAAAAAGATTTACCAGGATGTTGAAGGGTCTGGAGGGTTAGAGTTATATAGATAGGCTGTGACTTTTTTCACCGGAGTGTAGGAGATGGAAGAGTGACCTTATGGAGGTTTATGAAATCATGATGGGCATAGATAAGGTGAACAGCTTGGGTCTTTTCTGTAGGGTGGGGCAGTTCAAAACCAGAGGACATATTTTTAAGGTGAGAGGAGAAAGATTTAAAAAGGACAGGCCAGGCAACTTTTTTACACAGAGAGTGTTTGGTATGTGGAATGAACTGCCAGAGGAAGTGGTGGGTGCAGGTACAGTTACAATATTTAAAAGACATCTGGATAAGTACATGAAAACGAAAGGTTTGGAGGGATATGGGCCAAACACAGGCAAGTGAGACTAAGTTTGGTTTGGGAACATTGTCAATGAAAACTAATTGAACCGAAGGTCTGTTTGCAATTTGTATGTCTCTGATTCTCAACTGACGCGCTCAGCTACTTAAAATGGTGGCTAAATATGTATGTTACATGTTGTTTTATTGGGCGCTATTTGCTGACTGCCTCCTACTGATCTATAGACTTCATTCCTATTTGCTGAGTAAGCATTGATACTTGCCTTCTCCCTTCAGTTGGGATATACTGTTGATTGACCCAGTGTTATTTATAATCGGTTATAAGAGCGACGCCTAGATTGGTAAATTGTTATCTGAGACGTGATGAAAAAAAAACCTTGAGGAAAGGCAGCGTTTTAAAATTACGTGACTAAGTTGGCACGGTAATAACGTGTAGTTGAACTACAGCAAAACAATTAATATGATGTTAAAAGTTGAGCCGTACGATGCACTAAAACCTGCCTTTAACGACCAGCAAGTCTGGCAGCCTCTTCCACATGCTTTCATCTGAGTTAAACAAACAGCGTGCCCAGACTGGAACCATTGCTCCGTTTCATATTCATTGCAATTTTCCTCATTGGAATTAGGATTTTTTTAAAAAAAACTGTATTTTAAAAGCTTGTTTGTAGGCAAATTGGCTTTTCAAATATATAACCGATTAAATTCGCACTGTGTAATGCAACAGAGCATCAGTAAATATATGCAATAGTGAGAACGCCAACATTCTGGCCAAATGATGCTTTAGCGGTGATTTCCCAGTTACCTAATACGATCTGAAAAGTGGACGGGCATTAAGACCGGTCGGAACACCGCTGTTGAAGAATATCAGCGCTGCCGACTTACAAGAAACCCCTCAGTGTCTTAGAAAGACAGGAGTGTAGTCACCTGGTGGTCAAGGGCAGTAAAACACAAGTGAATCAGCCCTTGTCTGCTACAGATGCTCCTTTCTGCCTACGCTTCCTGCTCTATCGCTTTGCTGAGAATGTTAAAATGAGAGCATTTCCTCTGGCTCCCTGGTATTATCTTGTGAATATTCTCAGCTGTCAGCAGTTTCAGTCTGAAGTCAGTTCTCTGGGTATTGTTTCGAACCGCAGCCGGCAAAATTGATCATGCTAATGGCTTACAGCTGATCAGATATGAAATGAGATACTACATCAGCATAATGGAGAAAGGCTCTCACCAGCTACTGTACTCGCCAGTTTAAGTATTTGTGTTCCTGTAAATTGCCGCATGATGCCATACAAGGGAGATGGTTGTTAATGATGCAACGATTTTCTGGCATTTAGTTTCTCACTGAAGAAATTCTTTCTTTTCCCGAAAGAGGAATTCTCATTTTGGTCATACAAAACGTGATCTGCTGACGAGCAACGTTATCTGCTTTTGCTAAAGAAATCCTGGGGAAGAAAAGTGTTTTTTTAAACACTGGAGGCGTGATCTATGGGAATAAGACTGAGCGGAACCCGAGCTCGGCGAAGGACGATGCTGAGTTTGAGCTGGGAATTGGAAGTCTAGATTTTCCAACTTTCTACTTCTTCATTTCTGTCTCTCGCCTGCAATTTGATACACCAATCCTGGACTCCAAAGAGTTAAAGGTATGTGACATCAGTGATTAGAAAAATCTTGTTACTCTTCGCCTTCAAATTCCAGGTAGGTTACAGAATCATGTTAATCACCAAATGAATACTTATAATGTCTGCATTTGAAAAGACCCTAAAGACTGCTGGGAATATTTGCAAATAGAAAGATAAACCATAATCCTTGTAACTCTTCCCACTCCTTCCCCGATTTCCTCCTCTCTGCCTCTCTGCTGAATGTTTATTTCTCTCCTCTGGCTCTCTCCGCTGATCGCTCCACCTCTCCACTCAATATTTCCCTTTTTATTCCTCTATCTGAGATTTCTGGTTTCTCACATTTATGTAACCGCTTGCGTTTTGGAACGAATGAAAAAATAACAGGATGGTTTTATTTGAGTGAATATGCTAATATAAAAGTTGTTTTCTCAAACTGAATGTATAATTGATATTGGTTCCTACATTGGATGCATGCACTTACTGTATATCAAGAGGTTTGCGCGCCTGTTTCTATGTCTGATGTTTCTTGTGGGGCTAGCTGTAGTTGTAGAAAATGTTGGGCGATTCTATTTTTTTTTTGTTTGGTTTAAACAATCCATGTTCGGTTCATTCGGAATGGTTGGAGCGATCTGTGTCCCATGTCGGCGCCTGGATTTGAATGTGTTTCTGTGGAAGTCTGTTGACCAAAACAGAGCTATTCGTTAAACGGTTAATTCGGTAAACCACTTCGCAATGTGTAGTTGGCGAGTAGTGTGTTGCAACTGTTTGTTGTGTTTATGTATTCATTAGGCTTATTTTAAAAGTGTGTGTAACCTCAATGTTGTGGAGATACAAGGCGAACTTCTAACTGCTGTATCGTGCATGATTTGATTCTCTGCACGGAAACGCAATGAAACCGTTTTGAGTGCTTTGAGAGTTCATCCCAGAGCTGTAACCGGATCTGCTTTCCTTTTGATCTCTCCCTATCCGATCTATCCTACATAACGTTACTCGCCTTCAAGATTTTTTTTTCGTACAGTACTTGAAGACATGTCACTCACTGCCCCTTGAACACTGAGAGACTTTAAACCTCAATTTAAATCACATCAGTCAGTGGCTTCCATATATGCGCAAGATATGCTGCGCTCGACGACGAACAATACTTTGCTAAACATAAAATAGTAATTCTAGAAAATCGGGAAGGAAAAGATTAACAGGTTAAATTAGCACTTTGGACTTCTAATTCCTCGCGTCTAACCTCGTTCAGCAGTTGTGGATTCCTGAGTCTGACATTTGCTGAGACATTTCTCAGACTGCAAGGTTCAGACTACTTTTGGTTATTACAATCATAATTTCACCTAATGCACTGCATGTTATTACTATGTGTCCAGCTGGAGGAACATATCCAGGATTGTTCAATTTGACTTTATGTTCAGTTGTTAGTTCTTGTATTCTGGGGTGAATTTTGCTTTATTGTAAAACGTTTAGATTACTAAACCACTTTAGCCTTTTTGGTGCATGCTCTTCAATCTCGCCCTTTGGAATAGAAAGTGCTGCTGGGGATTTATGAAGCTGAGTGTTATAGTGTAGAACTGGAGGGATGTAGCCATCATCAGAATGTTAATACATGGCTTACTCAGAATAAACACAGATATTGTAGTTTTCTACTGGTTTTAACCATCAGTGTTTGTATTTGGTTATGATGTTTGCATCATGCAAAATAACATTTTAAAATTATCAATTATCTTGTTGTGCGAAGATTTGATTCTGCAGTGTTTGTCTCCATTTATGGTGGGAACTAGAGGGCTTCAATTTGTTCTGAATTCTGTGCACAATTGTTACTGTTGAATTCTGAAATGACAAAATGACTTACCTAAAGCTATTTAGCCTGCATATTTCATGATAGCACTGATCCTGACACATTCATTATAAACTTCCAGTGGGCTCATGACCCAAATCCCTTTTCTCTGCATCTCGCTCTTTGACCGTTTCTCATGCTCTTGCTGTCTCTTATCTTCTCTCTGGTTGCTACTTCCTCTGTTTCTTTCTCTCCAATGCCAGCATACTCATTTTTTATGTATTGCTTATTATGCTATGTATTGCTGAATTTCAACTGTTGATGAGAGACCTTTGATAAAATGATATCAGTTATGGACATTTAGCAAGTTTGGAAGAAACAATATATTACAGATTTCTGGACTGATATTAACAACAGGTTATTGAGCTGAAAATGTATTTGATTCTATCTAGTCAAAGTTCTTAGCAGTTAATTACAATATTTCTCAACTTCCTTGTTACATATTCAGTTGATGTTGTAGCTTCCTTTAAAGATGGCGTTGTCATAAAATAATAAACCTGTAGCAGGAAGAACATTTTCATTACCATGAAGGGGGAACTAACAATTCCCAGGCATATAAACTTTTATTTTAAAAAAAGAAGTCCTTGGGACTGGAAAATTTTTGTTCTTAATTTATGCCATGTTCTTGCTTTACATTGAAAAATCTAATTTGGGCATCTTAGGCCTATGTTTCAAATTTCCTAGTGGTTCAATTGTCATTCATGACTAGCATATCAGGATAGGTGTATGGGAGTTGGTTGGCAATACTCAGTAGGAAAAAGTAATACAACTGAATTGGAAAACAAATGAGACTGAATTAGGCCTATAAGATATTTTAAAAGGTTGACAAATTGGTAATGCAATCATCAATTGAGTGTGCCACTAAAATATTTTAACTTTAAATAAGATTTAGAGAATTCATAATCTGCATTGCAATGCTTCATAAAGTAGCTGATGCTTTGATGGAGCATTGATTGATTTCCATTGATTAACCTACTGCATACTGACTTGGTTCATTTGGAGCAGGTTTCTACAAAAATTTAAATGAAAACTCCAATATGTTAATGACACTCATAATCTATTTGATCCCATATTTATTTGTTTTAATCTGGACAGTTCCTTCCCTTATGTAATACAGAAATTATTATGATGCAATCACCGAAGTTTCATACATTTTAATCTGAGTAAAATTTTAAGTATTGTATATTGGACTCAGTATGTCAATCCAAAAGAAAGTGAAACAATTGTGGTGAAGTGTTGCAGCAACATTTTGCTATCATGTATGTTTTCTATGTTGTGAAATTCCTTGCAAAATAACTGGCAGTAGATAAAGGGACACTGGTTCTTCTGTCTGTAATCAAGGAAATTACTTTGAACATTGTATGCATTCAAACTAAATTGGAGTGTGAAAATATTTGTCCCAAATTTGCTGTTGTCTCAATGTAGAACCATGAAGTGATGACGTGCAGATTGTGCCGATCATTCCTTGCACAACAAAGTAACAGGTTTTAGGGGAGGCACTGATTGATAATTGCATAGTATATTACAGAGAGAGAAATACATAGATTATTTTCTGATGAAAGGCTAGAAACACATTAATTGTACCACTTTGTGGCTAGGGAAGGGTTTGGGGCTACAACAATAAATGGAAAATGACAGACAAAACTCAGAGAACAAAAAAAAAGTTAATATTATTATAAATATTATTGTAATAGCCCATCAAAAATAAGAAACCAAAATTTGATTATAAAGGTGATAGACATTAGGGCAGAATTCAATACATAATGAAACCAGATTCAGTTCAAGCTGGAATGTTTTGGAAGATAGTTTAGTCCCAAAAGGATGACACTGTATTCTATCATTCCTTATTAACGTAAACAGCAGAAGAACATTCCAGTTAATTCACTTTGTGTTGCACCGAGTATTTCAATGCCATGAATACTGAGTCCATTTTAAATAATGAAAATATATTTCATCAGAAATTAGATACTGTTCATTGTGTGCATGTATAAATAGTTACTGCAAACGATATTAGTTGTCAACATTTTCTATTTTTCAAGACCCAGTTCTCTTGAAAAGGGAAATTTTCTTGTAAAAGCCATTGAAATTGAACTGTGAGTGACAAACTTAGTAATGGATGTAAATTGCATGGAAGGCTTTTATTACTAATAGCCTGTATTCCTCAGGCTTTAGCGAAGAAACATATGGAAAGATTGTCCCTTGTGTGAGTCTAATTGGGTAGCTCTTTTACAAAGAACCTACTCAGGCACAAATAGTTGAATTGCCTCCTCCTATGCTGTAACATGTTATGGTAAGAGTGATGAGCTTTACAACTCATTCTAGATCTAGAAATTTGGCTGTGCAGCAGCACATGTTTTTGGAGGGCTAAGTGGCTCACAGAGCTTTCAATACAGCAGTGGAAAGCACACGCATTTCCAGCCTGAGGCTAGGGGACCGCTTTGTGGAACACCTACGCTTGGTTCGCAACAAACAACTGCACCTCCCAGTCGCGAACCATTTCAACACCCCCTCCCATTCCTCAGATGACATGTCCATCCTGGGCCTCCTGCAGTGCCACAACGATGCCACCCGAAGGTTGCAGGAACAGCACCTCATATTTCGCTTGGGAACCCTGCAGCCCAATGGTATCAATGTGGACTTCACAAGCTTCAAAATCTCCCCTCCCCCGACCACATCCCAAAACCATCCCAGCTTGTCCCTGTCTCCCTAACCTGTCCTTCATCCCACCTATCCCCTCCTCCCACCTCAAGCCCCACCCCCATCTCCTACCTACCAGCCTCATCCCACCCCCTTGACCTGTCCGTCCTCCCTGGACTGCCCTATCCCTCCCTAACTCCACACCTACACTCACCTTTACTGGTTCCACCCCCACCTCTTTGACCTGTCTGTCTCCTGTCCACCTACCTTCTCCTTTATCCATCTTCTATTCGCCTCCCCCTCTCTCCCTATTTATTTCAGAACCCCCTTCCCCTCCCCCATTTCTGAAGAAGGGTCTAGACCCGAAACGTCAGCTTTCCTGCTCCTCTGATGCTGCTTGGCCTGCTGTGTTCATCCAGCTGTACACCTTGTTATCTCCAGCCTGAGATGTTCTACCCACCACGTCATATAAATTAGATAATTTTGCTGGTGAAAGGAACACGTATCAAAAATACTTAAAGATCCAGAATTTATTTAACTTAATGTA